TACTCCTGTATATGGTTATCCATTTATTCATTGTTAAGTCATTTCTTGTTGTCATTAATGTTATTATACTTATCATTATAATTACTACTACTTTTAACATTATCGTATTACTACTATCATTATTATCGTTATATTTCCCATTGTTAGTATCCTTATTCCTCTTGTTATTAGAATTTTTCAATTGCCATTATTATCATCCTCATCCTTATTATCAGTAGTGGAAGTTTTCCTGTTTATGTTATCATTAGTGCTGTTCTATGTTCAGTAGTAGAAGTTTCATTGTTTATGTTACAATTAGTGCTGTTGATTTTGTTTTATCATAATTATCACTGCTATCATCCTCATCGCCATCATCATTGTCATTATCATATATTATCAGTACTACGACTGTCACCATGATCATATTTATCATTACAATCAGTATTACTATACCAGGGAAGGTCCACGTAACTTAAAAAAGATTAAATAAGTAAATAAAATGCTGACACATAATTTTTACGATGAAATTCACGCAACTGAATCCTCTCACATACTAAGCAGCGGTAAGAAAATGATGCAGTAATTATACTTCTGAGTTCAGTTCAATGTAAGCCGTGATGGCTAGCCATGGCCGGGCTTTCTTTCTTGGTACCTTGCATGTTTTATATATATATTATAATATATATATATATATATATATTATATATATATATATTATAAATGTACGCACACATATATATTAGACCGTAATCATATTGACAAATGTAGAAAGGTATAAATGAGAATGAATATCTTCACAAACATATATTCTGACGAAGATATATTCAAAACCGGTCAGATACATCTCTTGTATTGTGAAGATATTCATTCTCATCCACACCTTTCTACACACACACATGCATGTATATATACATAAATATATTATATATATATATATATATATATTATATATATATATATATATGATCATATCTACGATACGATTCGTCATTACTGAAAATATAAATCCCTGAAACGTGTATCACGGTCATCAAGCTAAAGGCATACAAGTCGAAAAAGGTTTCAATATATTCTAACAATGTTCGCTTAACATATTTGATAATGTATCAAAGCGTTTCAGAGATCGCACTAAAAAAGCCTGCATATATATTCGTATATAAATATTATGCTATACATATGTCGCGTTTAATATAGACAGCAGTGATTCCTATCCTTTACATTCTGTGGCTCCAACCAATATATAATAATCTCCATTGCCCCGTTCAGTGACTGTCATTTTTTCAGATTCAGTTACTCCTGGCTATGAATAGTGTAATGGTGTCAATAGCTATAGAGCAAAACACTCAGGATTTTTATTTATTTATTTATTTATTTTTATTTGAGGTTATTTTATATGTACTGTAATTGAGAAAAAATTCTGTTTCATTTGAAGTCAACCTTTTTCATTGCACTATCTCCCCCCCCCCCCCCCCAGAAAGTAGCCCGTGGCCCTCCTCTGGGAAATGGGCCACAAGTTGTGAACACCTAATCAGCTGAAATAGTGACACTAAATGTACTGCAGGAATATATTTGGAATAGGTAACACCGGAAGAAAATGGTCCTTGTCAATTCAACTTATTTTTATTATCTTTGGTAGTATGATGTAACAACAAAAAACATGTTTGATGAAGAAGAGTGAGTGAATGATTTTTGTTTTTACAAAGAATGGAATCACATTATACATAGGGTGCAGGGGGAGGAGGGGCGTAGGCGGGGGGAGCGGGCTTGTAGGCGGGGGTGTCTCGGCTCGTAGCTGACCTCAGCTACGAGACCGTCGCCGTTGTCCACGTACTTGACGGTCTGCTTGCGGCCGTCGGGGAGGTCGACGGTGTAGCTGCCCTCGGTCTTGTAGCCGTCGCGGGACTCCGAGTGGCCGAGGTTGACGCCGTAGTCGTCGGAGATGCCGTAGTTGTAGGCGTACTTGGGAGGAACCTGTAGAATGGCATAAGTCGTCAACGTTGTCTACTATGACATGTGGTGGTAATGAGTCTTTAACTCTTGAATCAATGTTAATAAGTAAAAAACAAGTATAAATAATTCTTTATCACAAGAATTTCGAATTATGTGATGTAATCCAATGAAATGAAGCATATAAATTCTTTGATCGGGAAGACACGGTAAAAATGAAGAAAAATGAAATTCATTTTCCATAGAACTCTCCATGCCAATAAAACATGTGTTAACTAGATAATACACAATGAATTGCAGTGCTTTAAAGAGAGAGAAAAAGGATATCGTATTTACATCAGGGTAATGTGGTTCGCTGTGGTAGGGGGCAGGTGGAGGGTGGTAGGGGGCAGGTGGGGGTGGTAGGGGGCGGGGGGAGGGGATGGGGGGCCTTATCAGCTATGGCCACAACAGCCAGGCAAGCGATGACGGCGATCTGGAAATTAAGAAAAATTAATCCTATTTTGAAAATTAATCTGAAACATTGACGAGCACAGTTACAAGCTCTAATTTTACTTGAATTGTTTTATCTACCACAAAATGCATATTTAGTTCCTTATTGAACAACATAATTGACACATACAAAATAGACAGCTCTCTTCACGATCACTATTTCTCTCTTTTGTTCAAATAACGAGTCACTTCACAGCCTCGGGAGAGCTAGTCCGCGAGCCTACCTTGAGGGACATGGCGGCGGAGGGAATGATGGCGCCGACGACCAGCTCGGGCTTTTTATGGTCGATTCCTCTCACTCTCTCTCACTATCTCCCCCCCCCCCCTCTATCTCTCTCCCGCCTCGCTCTGGTGGATATGATTACTTCAGAGAAATAAGGAGAGATAATATATATATATATGTATATATATATATATATATATATATATATATATATATATAAATTTATATATATATATATTATATATATATATATATATATATATATAATATATATAATGTATTATATATATATATATATATATATATATATATAATATATATATATATATATATATAGATGAAGTATGCACATACATATATACGGAATGATCCACTTTATATTAATTACTTTTGAAAATATTTAGCACATCCCTAGAATAGTTTCATGCTTTCATCTTATAGATTCATTAAGAAAGATTATTCTCTTAATCGATGTGTTCCGCCCATTCATGTTGCTCCTTAATTAGTAATATGTATTCTTATAACTAGTATACCATGATACACACAAGTATACACATATATATTCGTATATATATGTGTATATATCTATATGTATACATATTTATCATATACGTATGTATGTATATACAAATACATATACAGAGAGAGAGAGAGAGCTTAGTAAAAAGCCTGAGTGACTGCTTGGCGGCATTACTTTACACATTTTGTTTGCGTGTGGGTATGCATTTTTATTTGTTTCTCTATCTACATCTCTTTCTATTTATCTATCCATATCTATCTATGTCTATCTGTATCTCTTTGTATCTATCCATCTATCATTTATATGTCTATCTATCTATTTATCTTTACACACACACACACACATATACGAATACCTACACACACACTCATTACTATTATTAATGAATTGGTGCTGATTTGCCCTTGACTGACAACAGAGAACAACTGACGTGGAACAATCCATGTATAACACGGTATTGGTGTGGAACTAACGATCTCTCTACTCATATTTCGAGATTAGATAACCTGAACACGTAATGGTTCATATTTGCGTGAAACTTTCTAATTTATGAATAGAAGAAATGAACAGTATTAAGTTTAACCTTCACAGATTTTTTTTCTTTCTATTTTTTTTAAGATTGAGCTATTCCTGTATTTCCTCCTTTTTAAGGACAAGAAGTTTCATTCTCTGCATATATACATTTTATCTTATACATTTTAAGAATAAAACTCATTCTGTATACATTTTTTTATTGGGCATAACAGAATGTGCAGGTATGTTTGGAGAATAGCTAGACCATCGGCTAGTTAGCAGAGACAGCTACTTTAATAAGATGTAAAGGTCAATGTCAATATAAAGTTACTACCATTACAACAGAGAATGCGAATGTGTTGTCAGTGTTGCTTTTGTTTGTCGTCTTTGTCATTGTTATTGCTGTTCTCGTTGATGCTGTCGTTGTTGTTGTCGTTGGTGTTATTGCTGTCGTTTTTGTCATTGTTGTTGTCATTGTTATTGTTATCGTTTTTATTTTTGTTGTCGTTGGTATTGTCACTGTTGTCGTTTTTGTTGTTATTATTGTTGTCGTTGGTGTTATTGTTGTAGTTTTTTGTCTTATTTTTAAATATAGAGACGTGGCTTAACCCTCTCTCTCGGTTGACGGCGGTGCAAGTCCCTGAAAGCCCAGACGGCGTCTCTCGGCCAAACAGTGCTTCCACCGCCGTGTTCAGTCCGTTAAGGCCGAGCTGATTTCAGAGTAGCCAAGTTGTATGTACAGCCGAGTTTCTCTTGGTCTGATGAGGCGTTTCATCAGCGAAAGACATGACTGAGAGATGATGTTTGTGTAATAATAGGGATTAAATAATAATTTCTTTCTAGTGTCATTTTTAATTTTATTTCCTTAGGAGACATACTTACTATGACTGAGTACTTACAATTATTTCGACAACACAACTAATATAAATAAACAAACATTTGGCATTTAAATATAAAATAATAAACATTATAAAATATACACACGAATATTATTTATAGTAAGAGAAAGAAATAGAAATAAAACAGAAATTCGTGACTATAGTAAGAGAAATAAATAAATATAATACAAAAGTTCCTGACTTGGAATGTTTCAGGGGAGGCTGTGATATTACTACAAATGCAGTGATAAGATCTAGATTTCGGGTTAAAATTATTGTAACTTCTTTAAAAGCTACAACATTTGCAGTGTGTTTTTTCTTTCTTTCTTTCTTTTTGTCACATTGCCATTACATATACATTTCGTGCAAGTAAATGTTGATTGCTAACATTTTCCGTAATGGTGGTAACAGTGTAGAGATAAAACATCGGTCAAGTGAAAATACAAAATACTTATGATTATTTATTTTCAGGAATATCCAAGAAAACATAAAAGTTCAGTGAAATGTAACTTGAGTGGTGATGAGATATGAAGGGAATATGATATGAGATTTCAAACAATACATCGAATTTTCAACATATGAAGAGTAATAGCGATAACAAATATCTATGCATAAGGCGCAGGAGGAGGAGGGGGGTAGGCGGGGGAGCGGGCTTGTAGGCGGGGGTGTGCTCGGGGTAGTGAGCCTCGCCCTCGTAGCTGACCTCAGCTACGAGACCGTCGCCGTTGTCCACGTACTTGACGGTCTGCTTGCGGCCGTCGGGGAGGTCGACGGTGTAGCTGCCCTCGGTCTTGTAGCCGTCGCGGGACTCCGAGTGGCCGAAGTTGGCGCCGGAGTAGCCGTCGGCGACGCCGTAGTTGTAGGTGTACTTGGGTGGGACCTGTAAGGAGGACAAACAAGATGTAAGTATATCTAAATGAATAATAATAACAAAGATC